AAAAGCACTTATTGGTGTAGGTATGTCTGCTTTGTTCACATTGGGACCAGGATGTTCACCTGTGAACTCTTCAACAACATGTCTTCGGAGTGTCGGAGTTCAACCATCACTATCAGCAACATTGTCATCATCTTCATCATTAGAAACACATGTAGGTTCAATATACTCTGAGTCACTTGGCCAGGTTGTTTCTATTTGTGTGTGAGCATGAATGCGATGATGTGTGCTGTTCCTGTCATCATCATCAGAGTCCATCTCTTCACCTGATGTAGTGTCCATGCCACTGTCAAGATTAGGAGGTACTACCCCATTTTCACCATCATCATCACTACTATAAAGGTCACTTTCATCACCACCCTGATTCTCTCTGCCATCATCATTTCCATCATCCTGATCGTCATTGCCATCACCTTGATCATTGCCATCACCATCCTCATTTTCATTACCATCACCATCCTGGTTTTCATTACCATCATACTGATTTTCATTGTCATCACCCTGATCTTCATTGCCATCACCATCCTGGTTTTCATTGCCATCACCATCCTGGTTTTCATTGCCATCATCCTGATCTTCATTGCCATCACCATCCTGGTTTTCATTGCCATCATCCTGATCTTCATTGTCATCACCATCCTGGTTTTCATTGTCATCACCCTGGTCCTCATTGCCATTACCATCCTGGTTGTCATTGCCATCACCCTGATCCTCATTGCCATCACCCTGATCCGCATTACCATCATCATGATCCTTATTGCCATAACCATGCTGATTTTTATTGCCATCACCCTGATCATCATTGCCATCACCCTGGTCCTTATTATGATCACCAACTAGGTTCTCAATACCATTACCACCCTGGTTCTCCTCAGTCTCAATTGTCTCATTGTCCCTTTCACCAGTCACATTACTAGTACTCCCATGACCCTGTCTCTTTTTATGATGTCTTGGCCGTTTTCTGCGTTTAGTGGTTTGTGCAGAATGGGGATCACATGTATCACTATCACTGTCTGCATAACTGATCTTATGATGTTTTGAGCGCTGTCTGCGCTTACGAGAATGAGAACCTACATGACTGGGGACACTAGTATCACTAGTAGTGTCCATAGGAATAACTTGGTTATCTCCTAGCTGATCATTTTGTACCCTCTCCTTCGATTCAGTTGGCAAATGATGCTTCTTCACCCTCACTTTGCCAGATCTATTCTTAGACGATTCTGTAATGAGATCATGTTCTTGTTCAGTTATATTCAATGAAGCTATATCTTGGAGAGTCATGTTTCTTG